ATGGAATTATAGGCCTGCTGTTTGATGAAATGTCCACCCATCTAACAAATCCAAATATGTAAACTGTTTCTATAGCTATTTTTTTACATGGACCCTCTTCAGCTCCACTAAATTGGTAATGCATTATATTATCAAAGTCCTTATTTTCACATGGTACCTTGAGTAATAAATTTAAGAAATAAGTTAGGTTGTCTGAACAGCAAGAGGGAAACCCCACATCTTACAAAAATACTATCAAGAGAAAGTTTACAAAAGAGTTAGGTATGAACCGAAAAGAACAACCTAAATGCCTTTTGCGAAGCGCATTGACCAACCCGAAAAACATGATTATACAAAGAAGAACTTTGGGCCCATGAGGTTTGCAGTAATTTGTTTCGATGTAGTTTATCATTTAGGTCTATACACGCCTTCAGCTAGCATGGATCGACTTAAACAAAACACACCTCTTATTTCAAAAGCCAGGCATTTTCCTCAGAATGGAAGGCATTTTTAAAGCCCTATGTATTCTTTTTGTTGAGTTTGCTCTTTCGGTGTTAAATTATAAGACAGCTTGTAGATCCGAGTGTCAAATAAATATTGTATGTTCATTCGCGTCTCGAATAAGACTAACACAAAGGTTGCGCGCACAACCGCGGACAATCGACGACGCTCTTTCTAAAGGATTTGTAGCTGCATGATTGTCATTTTACGGTTTTTTTCTTCTTCGTGGTGTCAGGATAGAGGAACAATTCCTTGATAATTCTGTTTCAAAGAAGAAATGTATTTTTTGAAAGCAAGATGGATTCAGAACAATTCTGTTATTATCTGTCATGAAAACTGATATTACCAAATCTTCCTAGCACCATGCGGAGAAGAGTATTGCCCAATCTTAATTTTCTCAGATCAAATGCATGTTTTTCTTTGGAGAATTTACAAATATTTTTCAAGACCAATATTTTTCTTAAAGATTCTACAGTTCACACAGGTGCTAGATGTTTAAATATTGTTATACAATGTCTGAACATTGTGTTCATCTAATCTTTGCTTCACATTAGCTTTCAACCAAGAAGTGTTTCACATCTGATATGACCATATACCTGAATTTAGCAAACCCCCTACGCGCCGGCATTCTTACACTAATCGTTATCGTCGTAAAGTAAGTATTAAATTGGCAACGCAAAAACAGTTGTATGCGTGTCTTCGCATTTCAACCGGAACTAACATCGCAAACTCTCGTATTATTAAAAAGTTTAGCGTTTTTGTAATGTTAACCGCACCTTCACATGACTAATTATATGTACTTTTTAAATGTTAAACTAGGCAACACAAATCTTCGCTCCGCAAAACAACTTTATTCCAACTAATATAAAAGAAGAATACATTTAACAAAGTAAATTTACACCTTTACCAGAACTCCACTTTCTCTTTAAATCAAAATACCTTTATCTTGTGAAGAAGGTCCCTGTCTTCTGTCTTCCAATCGAAATAAGAGATTGACTTCTAGTTTATTATTTTGTCCTACTTTTAGTGACACTGCAACACTATCTGACTGGTTGGGGAAGTCCAATTCAAAGGGCTCACAGATCCGGGTTCCACTCTTTAATCTATCAAAGGAGACATCCTTCAAAAAATAAAATAATTGGTCATCAAAAGAGTACGTTAAAAGACTTCTAGCATTTGGAAGAGTACGTACTTCCCACCATTCCAAATTCAGAATCAGATTATGAGCATTTTACAGATTCATGAATGTCAACTCTGCGGCAAGATTGATGACCCAAACTGAGAAAATGATACTCTCACAAAACCCGTCTTAAAGCAGTTACATGGCTCTTATTTCAATCAAGCATGATTTCAAAATACTGTTAAGGACCTATCAGTGCTATGATTATTAGTCCTAGATAAAGTATGCTCCCTCGAGCAATTTGAAATCAGCTCAGAAAAATGCTCTTGCAGTATGAACAATAAAAATACGCAAAGTTACAAGTCATACCGGTACGATTTGATACACAAGTGGAACAATACACAATATCATCCGACCATACATCGGTTGAATGCTCCTATTCGAAATCAGAGCTACCAGAATCGTTAAAAGCATAATTTGAAATAAATTTGGTTATCTATCTACTTACAGTAGGTCCTCCAATTACTGTGTTCTTTACGTAACAGGTCATTTTGAGATCACCTTCTGCTGTCTGAATAAGAACCTGTTGTTTTATATGGGCAGGTATGAATTCTTGTTCACCTTCTTCGCTTTTTACCAACTGTTACCAAAGAAAAGAAAACAGACTTATACAGGGCTGTATAAATATACAAGGTAAGAGAATATTGACATATCTTTATGAACAGTAATAAAACTCAAAAACATCAATTAAATGATGCATTATGTTGGTAAATGCGATCTTTTTCAAAGCTGAAGAACAAGTTTTTCACATAAATTTTTGTCTAAAAGTGCTGAACTTGCAACAGTTGTTATTAAAATAATAAATATTGAACAATAATATATTAGATATGGAAGCACTCTTAACAGAATTACTTTATTTGGTAATATTTGATAAAGAATTTGCAATTGAAAACATGAAGAGGTAGTGCACTCAAATATTAAGTTTTTTTTTTAGAAGCAGAACAAAAGAACAGGTCACTGAAAGTTTGAGTAAATTCCGATTCCAAATATGAAAGTTATGATTTTGTGAAGATGTGATCAATCAAACACAAATTGGCAACTCTGTGACGCACTTTGCGAGCTTCCCTCCCATTTGATTTAAATTTCATGAACTGTCTTTCTCTTTGTTATTGATGATGGAATATATATTTTTCTATACAGGGGTTTTATAAAAACATCAAAGGAGAAGAAGAGCTACTACTAGAGATGTATATCCCTGGAAGCACTAGCTAATTTGAAGAAAGCAAGGAGGTTGTCCGCCCCCCCCCCCACAACAACCTTAAGATAAAGAAATAATAACAGACTTTTGAATTCGCATGAGTGCGCATTATTGTAATGGCATGGTGGCTCAGTGGTTAGAGCGCCCGCCTCATGAACGGGAGGTCGTGGGTTCGAACCCCGGCCGAGTCATACTAACGACTTAAAACAATAGGACCTTCTGCCTTCTAGCTAGGCGTTCAGCATATTAGATTGGGGAAGGGTAGTAATAACTTATTCTTTGTTTTTTAGAGCTTAGATGTTCATACTTGGTAATTAGAAAAATCTAAGGGTCGAATGTCCAAACCCAGTGGCCTAACAAATTAGGTCGCATCCCCTTCATCGATTGAGGATAAATGAATAATAGAGAAGAAAGAGGGGAAGGCATTAAAGGAATATGATCATGATACCTCACTCGATGACTTTCTTCTTTCACATTTCATATAGAGTAACTGTTCCCCCCCCCCTCCCCCTCTCTCCCGACAACACCTTAGTGCACCAGTGCTGCATGGATCCATGCCGATCCACTGTTCAAATAAATAAAACAATTGATTTTTCCCTTTTCAAACTAACTGTACAATTATTATTATTATGTTTATTATAAATCTTTGGTATGACTCGACCGGGGTTCAAACCCACGACCTCCCGTTCATGAGGCGGGCGCTTTAACCACTGAGCCACCATGTCATTACAACATTGCATGTTCTGAATGTAGGAACGCTTTTCTGCCGACCTCTAAGGCCGTTTAACACGTTGCGGTGGTGATAAACATTCTATGGTGAAGATTTTACTTCCCGAGTAAAGGCATAGTTGATACTTAATGGGAAATTACAACATTTTTGGAAGTGCTTCCATATTTGCCACGAATATTGACAGTTCAGTACATTGTATCAGATTCCTCAACTTCCAAATCAACTGATGCAACAACAATTTACCTCGCTATTTCCTATGATGTCGTCATAGAGGTGTGCATGTAAGATGACAGGTGTCTTCTGCAGGGCTAAGTTCTTTTCTTTAAACGGCTGACAGCACATCTTCTTTTCTCGGAAGAAAAAACTATTGATCCTGAACTTAATGGTCACCCATGAAAAGTGGTTCATCGTCAGTTTGAGTACAGATTTCGTGATAATGCAGCTAGGTGTTCCAGACCTCGACAACATAATACGTTCTTTAACAACTGCATCTATAATCAACAATTTGGTGGTGACAATCTGGAAAATTATGGACTCATTGAAGTGAGGGATAAACATGGTTATTAAAGTAATTCACTAATAGTAAGCAAATGCCAAGGTCTCTGCATAGAGTAGTTGTGGGTTCATTCGTATTAGCACATTTTTAACCTATACACGTTGTTTACTCCAACATCTTCAGACCAATCTATTGGTGAGGGAAGCGCATGTGGGGCGGGAAAACAGCTGATGGGATTATAGCAATTTATTGTCAAGCTTCATTTTCCCCTTTACTTTTTTCTTTCTTTCTGTTCTTCTATTTTTTCACAATATAAATTATTGGGAGCGTTTTCCTCATACATCCTGTAGCAACGCGTTTTTTTTGGGGTGCACTTCAAGAGTATGTCTTCTTAAGAGTTTCACTTGAAGTTTGGCCCAATTATTCTTATGCTACCAAATCTCATTATTGACCTTCAGACTCTCGGTTTAAAAATGTGGTCTGAATTTTCCTCTGTCATGCACAGTGGCGATTGCTTTGTTCTGGAAAAATGGGATTCACACACGACTTCGTCGACTTGATTTTTCACGTAGTGAAATCTTAATGAAATATTCTGAGCAATATGTTAAAATCAACATACATGAAGACCTCAATAATGTTTTGAGTCACTTACGATCAAAAGTGTCAAACGTTTTTTTTAATACACCTAGTACTTTTAATGGAAAATGGAGTTACATCTTTTTATTTACCTATTGCTGAGTGTTTCATATATTTACAAAAAAGTTTTGACATTGATAACATTTATGAAATAGCATTGCTACATAATAGGCATAGGCCTACATGTACTTACCGGGTGAGTATTCTCCCTCTCCCGTGTATAAGACTGCCTCCACACTGGAGTATCTTGTAATCACAGCACAGTGAGGTATTGTGTAAGTCACTGGTAACTTCAGAACCAAGTCATCGGGGGCTAAACACTGTACACCAAAGCAGACTGACACCTCGGCTTTGCTGTGGCTAAGATTTGGAGTATCTGTCAGGACACGAAGAGAAATGCCTTGTGGCGCTGTGCTGTCAATTGCACCCGGAGGGATATCAAGTTCAATCCCAAAGGAATCTAGCTGAAGTTTGCCACCTTCAACTCCAACTCTCTTACAACATTCCATCTTGATTGGTTTGTCATTTACTACAGATGGTACTGAAAATCAGAAGAGATATTTCCATTAAATTGTGTAAACTCTCTGCAAACAATAGAATACGTAATTGTACTTCAACTTTCCAGCAAAATATTAAATACAGGTTAAGGAACACCAAAGAGCAATATCACTCTGAAGTACCGGTAAATATTTCATGACAGGTATAAGAGTAAAAGAATAATATTCTTAAACATTTTAAAGTTTTTATCTTTTAAAAGGCAATTTCTTTCAATTTCTTCTTAAATATTGCTTAGTTGAAGACTCTACGTTGTAGAAAGATATAGGCATTTAGATATACAATCTTTGGAATTTAGCAATTTACATGAATGATGAATATGTTTCAACCTAAAGGATTTAGCACAATTACTTTTTACCTATCTGTCATTAAATTTGTTGTAATATAATGAAATATTAATATAAAAGAAAAATATTGTAATTTACCCAGACGTTTTTTCTGCCTTTTGCCGAACAAAACAAATCTTGCTTCTTGCTAGAACCACGCATGGTAGGCCTACTGTCACTAAAACACATCTCTGTTAGAAAGTGTTGTATATTTTAACATAGATTACGCCATCCAGCGTCCAAAGTTTTATATATTTATACATGAGCTTGTTACTACCCCGGCCCCCCACTCAGGTTTCAAAATGACCGCATGCGTGTTGCCAAAATGTCCTTTTCGTAACAAAAGAAAAAGGTCGAGCCGTATTGACTTTACACACCGGACTTTTGCTGAAAAGGGGGGGGGGGGATGCTGAAAAAGGCTCGTATACAAAAGAAAAAGGTCGAGCCGTATTGACTTTACACACCGGACTTTTGCTGAAAAGGGGGGGTCGGTTGGAACACGCATATGCGTACCCTAAATAACACTGAGTGGGGGGGCCGGGGTTACTACTCTCGCTCTCATGTCGTCGAATCATGAATACACTAAGTTATCAAATACTTTATTCTTTGTTTCGTGTCTCTGCCTTTCCTGTGAATGAAGTGGACATGCAACAACACAAAGCACCAGAGAGAAACATTTATTTTTCTTTCCTTACTCTCCAAATCAATTTCTGCTGATATTGTTCAAAGCAAAATATTAACCTGTTTCACGGGGCAGGCTTTCTCTGGCAATGTAATCCTCTGTTTCCTCCTTCTTTTCTTTCTCTTCTTCACCTTCATCCTCCTTTCCTTCTTCCTCAGTGTTCTGGGTGTCTGTCTGTTCTTCATCAACTTGGACCATTGCGCTGGCTTCAACAAGCTCATCTGTAAGATACAATCAGTCAATAATGGACTTAGAATATAGATCTTTTCCTGAGACTAGTAATAATTCAACCACTACATCACGGTTTAATGCCGTCTCGTCTACAACCAGTTCGTCTACCAACCATTAAGTATATTCCCATATGGTCCAGACCTAGCCCGTCTACTATTCACATGGTCTAATAATCACTTAGTTTGGTCTAGTGACGTGATTGAACATTCCCCCCCCCCCCCCCAAAAAAAAAAAGATGATACAAACATACAAAAATACAAAAATACAAAAAAAATACAAAATAATGAAATGATAATAATAATAATAATAAATATATTTAAAAAAAATAAAAAAATTAAACAACAATTATGGAAAGTGTGGATGAAACAGTAGCTGGGTGGAATTACGGTTAATTGGGAACCAATTTATCTATTTATTTCAGCACAAAATTATGCCGATTACTGTTTTTGAATTGTCTGTAGATGTATAGCTGGGGAAATAGCGTTGGATATTATGTTAATAGCAAAGGTTTCAAGGTTGAAATCACAAACGCAGAATATTTACATTTTGTCTAACAGGCATGTCATATTCTAACGTAATATGTACGAAAACGAGTCGAGCTCTATACTATACATGCTCTATTTCTATTGGAGGGGTGCCATCCAATTTACATTCAACCATTGCGTATAGTAAGGAAGTCAGTGGAAAGCGCTATATAGTGTTGAACAAAATTTGAAAGAAGAGATTGAGGGTAGAGGAAAGGGAATTTAAGAAAAAGGAACTGGAAGTGAGTGATTCAGAGTGTGGTAAAGCTAGAGAGAAAGATAGTCATAAAGAGAAAGAGAGAGAAAGAGAGAGACAGGCAGAGAGAGAGAGACAGACATACAAACAGACAGAAAAAGAGGGAGAAAGATGAATGTGTCCCGATCGCTAAGTTGGAATGTAATGCGTATTGCTGAATTAAATAGTCTTTTTTCAATTTTCTTTTGAAGTAGTTAAGCTACTATTTTTACAGGTTTGGGGGTAGTAACTTGGGCCAACTTTTCTTTATTTATCGATGCAGGCTACAGACCAATGTACCAACGTGTTCTTTTTTTTAAGAAAGTGATTTTGTTATGTTAAAATAAAGGTAAGCATATTGTCTGGTAAGGCACATTATGTGGCGCGTTTTCACGAGATATAACGCGGTACATAATGTGCCTAAATCTGATATGTTAAATACAAAAATAGATCCGTTAATCTTAATCTTGATTCGAGGAATAAAAAGTATCCCTTACAAAATACGATATGAATAAGTGAATTAATACAAGTTTATACGCAATTATAATTTGCACGCTTTATATTTAGCGTTAAACATTGCCTAAAAGATCGTTGTGGTATACAGTAAATTGCATGTTCTTTCAAATGAGCGCTAATTAAACCAATTTTATTCGTCCTCTTAGTATTAATAAACCAAAATGAATAAAAGAATAAATATTACTAGTCGTTGTCAAAATGTATGCCCTGCAAGTGTATTAGAATTACACAAGATTTTGAGTCAAGGTCAACACTTAGCGTTCTAGCGTCCGCTCCCATGCATGAACTCAGTCCCTCAATCTTGCAACCGAACACCAAACTTGTCTATTTTGTTAATATTCAGGAGCAAATAGTGGAATAAGGAAAACATCCAAACGAGCGAATGAAATCAAACATAACTCAGGTGTTATCAGGAGACTGGAAACAGTATTTTCTTTCTTTCAATTATCCCAGGTATACTGGGTCAGTCATGTCCAACATGCTGTTTTTTCTGCCATGAATGGACAGGGAGAAATGAGAAAAACTATGACATTCTTAATCTAACTCCACAAGAGGGCGGCATGTTACTTTAGTGACAACATTAACATGGGGAACTCCGTTTGGTGCTCTTTTGAAACAATTAGCTTGGTTGACATTTGATACTCCCTTTTGGAAAACAGCTTGTCGTACAGTATTCAAACTTGCCCCGAATTGATACTTCCGAACAAAATAGTTAAAAAATCAAAGTCTATTCAATCTATAAATAATAATGAGACATGTTCACGTCTAGCATTTTAACCTCTGGCGTTTTTACTTTCTGAAATATTTACCTTCTGAAATGTTTACCTCTGGCATTTTTACCTGTCTCCTGTGAAACATTACTTTTACTCCGATCACATTACTTCATACCAAGATGTTTCATTTTATCAAAGCTATAAGTAAAAAAAGAGTTAGGGCTATGTTTAGAAATAATTGCAAATAACATTGCAATGTTATTGTATTATTTTTTGCGTGGGAAATAAAAATAATTTGAATCTTGAATAAAATATCTAAAGTTAGAAATTCAGTTAGTGTACGAACGATATGGACCTGCTATGGGCAATGGTCACCGGAGCATTGGTCATATGCACACGGTTAATTAGGGCATTCCTATCTTTGTAACTAGTCAATTTGCATGAAAGCGAAACAAAATAGGAAAAACAAAATGGCGAAAGTTAGAAATCGATCAGCTTAACTCTTATCATGCCACAGGGCTAATCCCTATAGTGCCAGGCCACAAATCCCCCGAGTGCCAAATTTATAACGAGATAATTGGATTAACGCGATGGTACTGTCAAGAGCGCGTGCGAAGCACTAGGCACAGTCCAATGGGCATGAACAATAACTGCTATTACATCTGCGTGCAATCATGCAAGAAGCAGAGGAGCAGTAGCTTGCTAGCGAGCACAAGGCACTATAACAATAGCGTGCATGCAGCCTAATGGCAGGCTATGAGTTAATAGGAGAGTTATGAATGTTTGAAATATGAGATCAGTGTAGCTATGCGATTCTCAAATTGGCAATGTTGTCAGTGGATTAACAATACTCCCGTTAGTCGTGTACACAAATATAATTAATTTATCTTTTGTTCTAATTGTCGTCTCCCTAGGGTCACTACTCAAGATATACCCCCCCCCCCTAATAGATCGTGTATTATGATAGGTCTTCTTAAAGAAAAAAGACCATCCCGAGTCATAGATTTTGAGAGATGAATCTCTATTTCGGTAATTTTGTGTTTTGGAATAAATGAGAAAGTTGTCTGGCATTGCATTGTAACAGAGACATTACCGATTCAGAAAAGGGAAAGTTCAGATACGTATATTGATTACAACTTTCCAAAAGTCTAATCTTTTATTAGTTTTTGTCCGATTTTATTTCATTTTTTAATTGTCTGATTCCCTGATTTTTCTGCTTTCTCTAAAAGTTCTTTACTATGAACCTTGGATTCCTATTCATGGACAATACGCTAAGGACGCACTCTTGCGCTTAAAACTAATTTAATGACGACACTAAATATGTCAGATTGGCATGAAAATTATAAATCTTGTGACCCCCACCGTGAGATCAAATTTGCTTTCTCTTTGTAAATTGCCTAAATGTGGGATTCTACCGCTCCGCTGAAGTAATACCAGGTGTAATCAATTCAGGCACTACTTGCCATTGATGGAAGAGAAGACAAACATCGAATGAAATAAAGTCAATTGCCTGGCTTGTGGTCTGAACTTTAACCTAGGAGAGCTTTTGTGGACGAATTGAAAAGCATGTAAAGAAAAATATTTTCATCGTTATGCATGTGCAATAGATAGACATTAGTGACGTATCCAGGGGCCGGGGTGCTTTTAGGTGATATATTTATCACAGCATTCCATAGCACGCTTTACTTAGCACCATTGTATTGAACATGGCATGTATAAATCTATTTGAGCCTGATTTGGGGGAAAAGGCCCTGCAAATGTTAAAATCACATGCAAGTAATACCTTAATAGAATAAAAACTCTAAAACCCAATGAGTGATAGTTCTCATACATTTTGAGAGATTAATCTATATTTCAGTAATTAAGTGTTTTGGAATAAATAAGAATAAATGTCTGGCACTGCATTGTAACAGAGACATTACCGATTCAGAACATTTTAAGTTCAGATACGTTAACTGATTACAACTTTCCAAAAGTCAAATCCTTGTTAGTTTTTGTCCGATTTTATTCCAATTTTCAAATGTCTGCTTCCCTGATTGTTCTGCTTTCTGTGAAAGTTATTTACTATTAAGGTTGGGTTTGTGATCATGGACAATACAATAAGGACGCCCTCTTGCGCTTCAAATCACTTATGTGACGACATAAATGTCAGATTAAAATGAAAACTATAAACCTTGTGACCCCCACCGTGAGATCAAATTTGCTTTCTCTTTGTCAATTGCCTAAAAGGTTGGATTTTACCGCTCCGCTAAAGTAATACCCGTGTATGCGATTCAGGCACTACTAGAAAAAAAATCTAATGAAATAAAGTCAATTGTCTGGCTTGTGGTCTGAACTCTAACCTAGGAGAGCTTTTGTGGACGAATTGAAAAGCATGTAAAGACAAATACTTTCATCAATATGCATGAACACTAGAAAGAAATCAGTGACGTATCCAGGGGCCGGGGTGCTTTTAGGTGATATATTTATCACAGCATTCCATAGCACGCTTTACTATTAGCACCATTGTATTGAACATGGCATGTACAAGTCTATTTGAGCCAGATCTTGGAGAAAAAAGCCTTGCAAATGTTGAAATCACATGCAAGTAATACCTTAATAAAAATGAAAACTATAAAATCCAATGAGTGATAGTTCTCATACGTTTCTTTAAATAATGATAGAATTTATTGTAATGAATACAGATTTCTGCATTTTTCAAAAATGAAACTTTTTCAGAAGAGCAAGGCATTCTATCGGAAGATGATTTCCCCTCTCGGATGGGCACCTGTTCAATAATAAAAGGGACACATTTTCATTTGTCTTTAAAGTCAGTAGGCCTAATTGATTTTGAGGAAAACTAAGTGTGTATGTCCTTGCCATCCCGGAAATGGGTATTGCTTAATTAACATGCCTATCTGTCATGTTCACACGCGATACCAACTATTCTCTGTTTTACCCAAATCTGGCATAAAAACGGATATTGACATGCTATTCTCAAATGTTTCTTAGTGTAACCTGTTGGCTAATATAATCACAGTATCATTCAAAAGAATTTAGGAGATGAAAAGCAAGAAGC